TTTTCCTCTGTTAGATAGTTTATTAGTAAGATCACCTTTCAGTAGCCCCAAAGTAGAAACCACCTGAATGTCCATCATTGATCAATGGATAAATGTGGTATATCCATACAAAGGAATTTTTGGCCATAGAAAGTAATGACATAAACCACTATTCAAAGTGAAAGAAGCCAGACACAAAAGCCCACATGTATGATTCCATTTATATCAAATGTCCAGAATAGGTGAATCCATGTATGAAGTAGATTAGTGGTTGCCTAGGGTTTGGGGTTGGGGAGGGAAAGAGAGTGATTGCTAATGGGTACTGAAGTTCTTTTACTTTCTTTTTAAATTGTAGTAAAACATAAATAAAATTACCATTTTAAACTTTTTAAGACAGGGTCTCACTGTTGCCCAGGCAGGAGTGTATAGTGGTGTCATCATAGCTTATTGCAACCTCAAACTCCTGGGTTCAAGTGATTCTCCTGCCTCAGGGTCTGGAGTAGCTGGAACTATAGGTGTGCTCTACCATGCCCAACTAATTTTTCTATTTTTTTGTAGATACGGTATCTCAATATGTGGCTGATCTTGAACTCTTGGTCTTAAGCAAACCTCTCGCCTCAGCCTCCCAAAGTGCTAGGATTACAGGCATGAACCACCATGCCCAGCCATGAACATTATTTTAGATGGGCACAGGCTATGGTTTGGTGATGGGCCTTGTATTTTAAATTGGAATCAGTTCTTCAAGAAGGTATGCACACACTTTAAAAGTTTTGGTTAATCAGTTCATAGCCGTAACAGTTCATTTCTGTGCCAAAGTAATAGTTTTATATCAACCAAGTCTAGTAAAATATTCTAATAGCTTTTTATATATTTAATCATCCTCTGAAATATCGGTTAGACCTAAGAATAGAATTTAAAATATTAAGAATTCAGCAGATTGCCACACATTGCAAACTCTCTGAAAATGATAGTGGTATCTAAAATCAAAATTTCATTGCTGCTTATTGCTACACTGCTATAAATACTTACAGAACTATATTATTACAGAATATCATGGAACATCAGAAACAAATTTTCAGGGGTAGCTTGAATTAGAAATTTCCCAATTGGTTGAAAATTTTAAGTTATATCTAATGTGTAAAACAAGTCCACTTTACTTAAGGAGCAATATTTACTTTTAGATACATTCACATAGAGCATCTGTTGGGCAGATTTATAAAAATGAATGAATGGATGAATACTTTTTAACCAACATGTTCATCTTACTTTTTTTTTAACCTGGGCGGTATGTATGGAAGAAGACTGTTTTATGCAACCCAAAGTCCTTTCCCCTCACCATCCTTTAATTTTTCCTTTGCTCTAAATTCCTGATCCTCTTACATGTGATCTGGTAAAATGGTTTAAATACTTCTTTTGAAGTGCTGGAAGTATGAATTGTTTTTATTTTTGCCTTTTATAGTTGACTTTTTTTGCCTTTTGTGAATATTTTTCATTGAGGTATAATTTATATACAGCAAGATGAACAGCTCTTAAATGTTAAGTCTTAAGAATTTTGACAAATATAAAGCTTTGGTTTTGATATCTACTTGATGCATATTGCTAGGAGATATCATACTAAAGAAGGTAAGTGTTAGTGTTCAACAACACACCTGTAATCCCAGCTACTCAGGAGGCTGGAGTGGGAGGATTGCTTGAGCCCAGGAGTTCAAGACCAGCCTGGGCAACATAGTGAAATACTGTCTCAATTAAAAACAAAACAAGGCCGGGCGCAGTGGCTCAAACCTGTAATCCTAGCACTCTGGGAGGCCAAGGCGGGCTGATTACTCGAGGTCAGGAGTTCGAAACCAGCCTGAGCAAGAGCGAGACCCCGTCTCTACTATAAATAGAAAGAAATTAATTGGTCAACTAATATATATAGAAAAAATTAGCTGGGTATGGTGGTGCATGCTTGTGGTCCCAGCTACTCAGGAGGCTGAGGCAGAAGGATTGCTTGAGCCCAGGAGTTTGAGATTGCTGTGAGCTAGGCTGACACCACAGCACTCACTCTAGCCTGGGCAACAAAGTGAGACTCTGTCTCAAAACAAAACAAATCACCTCCCCAAACCTCATCAATGTGTCAATAACAAAGTAAGCTATAATTTTTGCATTATCATTTACTATCATTGTGGCAGCATAAGAGAAAAGTTCAATATAGCAGGCTGTTTTAACTACTATCTGGAAAGAACTGAAAAAAATCCAATATGGTGAGATCAAATTTGACCATCTGAGTGGGTTGATTTTACTGTGGTTCAGCCTTCTGGATTCCATGATTTAACCATTAAAACAAAAACATTTAGATATTGACAACTCATTATAGACTTTCTCACAAAGATTTAACTAAAATTGAAGTGGAAATTTCTGCTCCCTAATAAACTGCTAGAAAATATATTTAAAAAAAAATGAACATATGAGACACATTCCTGCAAAAGAGAATTTACATTAAAAATTTACAAGTCACATTTGAATGTGAGATTTGCAAAATCACTAAATGTGCCTGGTTCTTCTAGTAACACTGTTTGAAGAGTAAATCCTTTTTTTAAACTATTCCTTTAATATTCACATGGTGATCCATCGTTTCCCATACAGTATGTAAAAATAAATTACTTTTCCTTTGTAGGATCCTTTGGCTATTTCACTGCTATAAATATCACTCTCTATAATTCTCTATTGGTTTTTTTTCTTTGTGTAGTATTGCTTTAAATTATTCTCTACTGTCTTGACTTTGGGTAAATTATAGAAAAAATTACATTTTAAGACAGCTAACAATTTTTCAGACTAATTACCTCTGTAAAAATGGGCATAAAGTAAAGAAATCGTGAAATTAGAAATACTTTTATGTAGGGGTAATTTAGCTAAGGCAGGCGTCCGGCCCGTGCCGCCTGCCAAGGACATTTATCTGGCCCGCTGGGCATTTTGCCAAGGCTGCCTGTCCTGCTTAGCAGCCGACTTATCCTGGGCCCACAGTGCACACTCTCCAATGGTCTGAGGAACAGTGTATTGGCCCCCTGTTTAGAAAGTTTGAGGACCCCTGAGCTAAGGGATATGTTTAAAGGATTACAGATAGATGTATACAACACTGGCAAGATACCAAAAATGTTAGATACATCAGGTAAATCTCCCATTGCAATAAGGGAAGTTAGAGAGTAATTTCCCCTCCCAATTTCTCTTAATATTAGGTGAGTAAAGGAGAAGAAAAATGGCAAAGAACCCCAATGTAAAAAGCCATGTATTTTACATTCATGAATCCTTTTGATAAAACTATGTAGCACCGCTTGCCCCCCACCCTGCCCCACCTTATTCCCAGCAATCTCATTTATACGCAAAACTTGGCCTGTCATTTCAAGGTACTCAAGCCACCTAAAACTCACTTAGGTACACTTAAAAGTTTCATACTGCTATGGTTTGAATGTGTCTCCACAATTCCTATGTTGAAATCTAATCTGCAATGTGAATAGTATTATTGAGAGGTGGGGCTTTTTGTAGCTGAATGGGGTTAGTGCCCTTATAAAAGAGACCCCAGAGAGCTAATTAGTTCCTTCCACCACATGAGAACACAGCAAGAAGGTTCTACCTATGAGGAATGTGTGCTCACCAAATACTGAACCTTTATCTTGGACTTCCCTGCCTCCAGAACTGTGAAAGATAAATGTTTGTTATCAACCATCCAGTTTATGGTATATTTTAAATAGTAGCCTGAATGGACTAAGATATATATAAATTAACAATCACCTGGGAATAGAATAATCTATAAAAAAACAATAAAAGTAAAAACTGCCTTTAAAGGCAAGTAGCAGAAAATCCCTCTTCAAAACAGAGCTAACTTCCAAACTGCATATATGAGGAATTAAGTTTTTAATTTTAACATAAAGTATTGAAAAGGCCATTCCAGCATTACCAAAAATGTTCCTGCATCTTGACTTCCAACTTTTTCATAGTCTGTCTGATATGCAAAAGAAAGACTTACAAAATATTTGTGTACAGTTTTATATCATTATACCTATGGAAAATCACTATACTAGTTACAAACATGCTATAAGAAATTGGTAATGGTAAATTTTTATAGTGACTTTTTTTTTTTTCTAAGTAGACAGGGTCTTACTCTATCACCCAGGCTGGAGTGCAGTGGCATGACTATAGGTCACTGTAGCCTTAAACTCCTTGGCTCAAATGATCCTCCTGCCTCAGACTCCTGAGTGGCTGGAACTACAGGCACGTGCCACCATGTCTGGCTAATTTTTAATTTTTCTTATAGAAATGGGGTCTAGCTATATTGCACAGGCTGGTTTCCAACTCCTGGCCTCAAGCGATCCTCCTGCTTTGGCCTCCCAAAGTGCTGGGATTACAGGTGTTAGTGACCCATGCCTGGCCTGTGATACATTTTATAATAATAAAAATGTAGGTTATTTAAATTCCCATTAAAATGTTTACTATTGCCGAAATTATATCTGTACAGTATTTATTGACTCTCTTTGTAAATTTCTTAAATTAAAAAATTATTTTGGCATATTAAAACTTTGTACAGAACATCTGCTACCAGTGTCTGTCTACATCATTTGGCACCTACTCCCCAAGGGTGCCAAACCAATTTTGTAATTTTCCGTGTGTATTATGATGTGACAGTGGTTGGAAGCCCTACATTGTACCATACACAATAAAAGAAGGGGTAACATGAAGAATGTTGCAGAGTCTTCATATATGAGTTTTATTTTGGTAATAACCATGAAATGGTTCAACTATTCAAAGGGCATATATTTTTCTAAGAGACTTATGCTATGAAAGAAAAAATTAACTTGAAACATGGAAAAAATTTTGTCCCCTGAATATTATATACATCAGCCTATGATAATCTAGTAATTTACGTGCCCAAGTATTTTCGGTTAAAATTTTATACTCCACCCACACATATAAGTAATTTATTTTGTAATGACCATTATAGCCATCACCAATTTTAATTTCAAATAATGACAGACATTAGATGATCATTAATCTTTTTGCTAATTTTATTATACTATATAGATTTGTATTTCTTGTGATCTGAGAAACATCAAAATTCTATTTTAAAAATATACAATATTGCACTTTAGTTTTTGGCAGTTTGGTTAAGGAATGACTGAGTACAAAAAAATCATACAAGAAACTACAATTTTTATTTTGCTTTATAATAAGCAAAGAGCTTTGTGTAAAAGCAAAACTTACAGTAGTGCCAAATAAACCAAATATTTACAATGTAGATATTAAAGTCTTACCTCTAAAAGAAGATTCAGTGTATTTGTATTGAATGTAAATACTAATCTAACAAAAGCACAATTCCCCCTCCCCCATTCTGCCAAACGTTTTTAAGCCAAAGGGTATTGGTGATTTCCTTCTCAAGAAAAACATGAAGAAATGCATGTTCTTGGAGCATGTAAACTGGGTCACTGGACTCTTTCACAAGAATGTTTCCTACATGACTTGAAAAACCTCTAAACTAAGAATCAGAATTGCATGTTAAGCATTCTTTTAAAGTTTTCTGTAGTTATTCTCTTTTACTCTTAACAAGTATACAACTTAGTTGGTATGGTGTAATTTTAAGGTCAGTTTCCTATACTTTTGCTAAGATACGTAAAATATTGAATATGCATCTGCCCGAATTATTTTTAACTTTTGTCACATTGTAATGAAACTATATATATTTACACTGACCCAGAACTTGTTATTTTACTTTTTAACTTCCAGTTAAGGCAAATACTTTAGACAGCTCAGTATTTTTTTTTTTTCTTAACCAATTTAGAAGATAATTTTTAAATAGCTATTTGCAAAAGCAAGTACAAAGATTTAGAACTACTTGACAGTATATTAAACATTCAAAATACCAACAGGAACATAAATAGATTATCTGTAATATAAATATATCACATAGAGATATTCACTTATGGCACCACCTAAAAAAATCCAGCAGTAATTTATCACCCTTCAGATCTTTGGGAATACTTAAAATTCCTAACCATTAAACCTTTTCTTTTCCTCTAAGGGGAAAAATAATCCACAAATTTGAACTGGTATTTCAAAAGCAAATGATTTCCATTTGTTACTTCTTAAATGATCTTGTGAATGAACAGTTATTCGAAGTGTTAACTAGCAGCCAATGCATTAATTATGCCTTTACATTTTAATCCTACCAAGAACTGATTGTTTCAAACAGTGATATATCATGGAAAGATATGGTTTCTTCTTAAACAACCATGTATCAATTGCATAGTTCTGATTTGATAACAAAAGTCATAATAGAGAGTTACAAAGGTATTAATACATGTTAACTGAAGTGAAAGAGACTGTTAAGAAACAGTCTATCATGGGTAGATGTTAGTGTAAACTTAGAGGGAAAAAAACAGTCAACAGCAAAAAAGTTTCCTTTAAAAATAGGTTAATGTTAAGAATAGCTTTAAAAATTTCTATTTAAAAATAAGCTTAATAAACAAGAATACAAATTTTAATCAAAACTTAGCTCTTTGAAATGCCCTATTTTCTTGCATATAGCAGAAAATACATTTTTCCATAGTTTTCAATATTACATGTAAAAATTAGGCACTAGTTATACATATTTGAATATATTCACACAAATAGGAGTTTCAGTCCCATCCGTAGGCTTATATTTGCTCAATGGTTTCTCAATGGTAAACTGTTCACAAAAATAAATCTTCTGAAGGAGGTGCATAAGAGAAACCAACGAACGCATCATCTGCCTCCAATACACTGGCATTCACTATAGAATAGTCAGAAGATACGCACACAGAATATGGAACTGTTTCTTCTGTAAATGCTGTGTCAAAGTTCCTGATATCATCTGGTCCAGCCTAAAACATCAAAAGTATAGTATTATTCACCTTAGCTTATCTTCCATTAATTTAGTCCTTTATTAAAAACTCCTTTAAAAGAATTTGTGTATTTATTCCTAGCAAGTTTAGATGTCTTCCTAATTCATTTCTTTGAAATATTTTTCTACTTTTCCTTTCCTTTTATTATTTAGGGGAAGTTATCTGTTCTAGCAGTTAAGGTTCGTGCTGGGTAGGGGAGGAGAGAGGGGGAGGGAAGGCTAGCAGGGTGCACACCTAAGCTAATTTGAATCTCAAGCCCTGTAACTGATCCCCTTTCTCTCTACTCACCACCCCCTCAAAGTTTAGAAAAGAGGCTCAGGTAGGTTTTCAGGATAGCATTTTGCATTTAAACTTCCACAAAATGCCTGCCCATCTAGTTTCTCAATTCTGGTAGGTGAAGCCTTCTGATGAAGGTATTAAGAAAGTTTTAAGTACAATTGTGAAAGGTGACTCTGTGTTACAGACAAGGTCATGAAGCTTTTGGCTAGGGCATTCTTAGCTCTGGAGGGCTATGGGGTCCAGGTACATGGGAAATGAAGCATGATGACAGTGTCTCAAAGGCAGTGGTTCTTAACCTTCCTTTACAAACCTGATGCAAGCGAACAGATTCTCCCCTTCCAATGCATTTGCAGATAAAGGCTGGGCTGCAAATTCTGGTGATTCATTCTTAAAGCCCATCTTTGAGGCTCTAGGTTATTTTTGCTCTACAGTGAAGGGAAATCCTTAAAATGTACAAGTCATCAAGTGTAACTGAGGTGAACAGGAATTCAGAGCAGATTTTATAAGCTAAGGATAATAGCTAGCCTAGTACACCTACAAACTGGGCAGAGCAGAGACCAGGAAAACCCAGAATGCTAGATCCTTCTGTAAGAGAAAACCCCTCACAGATGACAAAGAATGCTAGAAATTGTGTGTGTGTATGTGTTTGTGTATGTATTTTTTTCCCTCAAATTCTTATATAATCCTAGAAAAATCATGGGCCTTTGATTTCTGGCTATAATATTTGCTAGCTGTAATTCTTTATATAAACTACCCCATCTCTAAAAACTTTTTTCTTCTTCTGTAAAATAAGAATACCATCACCTACCTCTTAAGATTGTTGTGAGGATATGATGAATTAATACACAAAAGTCCCAGAATCTGACACATAGAAAGTGCTCAATAAATGATGGCAAATGTTCTGACTTGGCTTTATAAGTATTCTTTGAATGCCCTCATGGCTGGTACTGATAGGGATAATACAGGGAGAGCATCCCAAATCTGAAAATATGAAATCCCAAATGCTCCGAAATCTGAAAGTTTGAAATGTTCATCAAGCTTGGATTTTAGATTTTTTGGAGTTGAGATGCTCAAACCAATAAGTATAGTGCAAATAAATATTCCATAATAAAAAAAAAAAAATCTGAAATCTAAATCACTGCTGGTCACAAGCATTTAGGATAAGAGATACTCAACATACACTGTATGGTTTATGTTAAGAACGAGGGCTCTGTCTTTGGAGTGGCTGAGATCAAATTCTATTTCTGCAACTTTAAAATTAGGGCAGGTTATCAAACCTTTTCTTTGTCTCAGTTAACTAATCTACAATATGTGGAAAAAACAGTACTATTTCATAGGATCAGGATTAAATAAAAAGATGCATATAAAGTATTGAGAACAATGAATGAGAATATCTACTTTATCATACCCTAGAAGAGCTAACTTTCTGATCTTTGTTAATCTGTTTGATCAAAAATGGTAACCTGTTATGGTTTAATTTTGTACTTCTTCAACTGTCAGTGAGTTTGAACATATTTTAATATAATTAAAAACTATTTATAATTCTTTTTCTGGAATTGTGTATTTTGTGTCTTTTGTCCATGTATTTTTTTATTTTTTATTTTTATTTTTTAGAGTCCGGGTCTTGTTCTGTCACCCAGGCATAATAGTAGCTCACTGCAACCTGGAATTCCTAGGTTCAAGCGATCTTCCTGCCTCAGCCTTCTGAGTGGGACTACAGGTGTGTGCCACCAGGCACAGCTATTTTTTCTTATTTTTTGTAGAGATGGGGTCTTGTAAGGGTTACTTTTAGATGGCATGGTGTAATGACTCTGGAGTCAGAAATACCTAGGTTTTAATGCCTCAGAGGTTTGGGGACCAAGGTAATGTATATAAAGGACCTAACATCACTAAAAGTTCACTCCCTTTCTCTTCCTCTCTATTTGGAAATTTATTGCATAAATATGTCCTGGTAACTAATATGTACACTCACTCCAATCTGAACCTTCCAGACCCCTATACTTCCATAGTAACCCTTTCTCACCTCACCAATTCCTTGAACACTGGACTAATTTTAAAAGCCATTAATATGAGTGATTCATTGACCTAGGAATGAACATTTTTCTTTCAGGTTACAGAATTATTAGAATAGTGCTAGCCTCTCCTCGGGGTCCAGACTCAGCCCTCAGATGTGGCTTCTAAATGACCCCTAAGTGGCCAGGCCACTCGCACTGCAGCTCCATGCCACATCCCATCTCTTTAAGGCAAGGCTCCGCAACTTGTCAGACTCACACAGATGTGTGTGCCAATCATTCCCAATGCAAGTTCTACTTGCATCAGCCACCTTATCTTTGTATAATGCGTTCATAGTTTATCAACTGCTTCATACATAAAGTACATTAATATGACAACTGATAAAGGCACTTTTAATTTAGGGATTATTTCTTGGCAACCCCTAATTTGAAATGTCAGTGAGCCCTCTCCCATCAAATAATCAACTCTGTTTCTATACTTTTCTAAATCTAAGTTCACAGTAGACTTTTATATGTAATAAGCAAAAATTCCTAAAGTAGGGACTGAGGCCATGGAACTGTAAACTACTAGCTATGCAGAATAGTCAATATTTCAAAGAGGGAGCCAAAAACTGAGGAAGCTCTATTCCAGAAGCTGCCAAAATGAAAGCATCGAAAAGGTAAATTATCTGAGGATTACAGTGGAAGCAACTAGGATGGCAACCTGGATGTACCCAACATAGTGGAGTGTTAGGGGAAGCTTCCATAATAGTTTAGAGGATTTTAAATGGAGTTTCAATGAAGTCCTATCTGAACATTGCTTACTTTGGAGGGACTTGTTTTGTTTTGGTTGTTCTGAAATGATATACTAAGGAACAAATCTTTCATGGTATCAAAAACTACTTGTTGGAGCCAGGTACAGTGGCTCACACCTATAACCCCAGCATTTTGGGAGGCTGAGGCTGGAGGATGGCTTGAGGCCAGGAATTCAAGGTTATAGTGGGCTATGACTGCACCACTGCTCTTTAGCCTTGGTAACAGGGAGATCCTGTCTCTAAAAAACATAAATAGGCTGGGCATGGTGGCTCACACCTATAATCCTAGAACTTTGGGAGGCACAGGTGAGAAGAACACTTGAGGCTAGGAGTTCAAGAAGAGCCTGAGTAACGTATAGAGACCCTGTCTCCACAAAAAATAAAAAATTAGCCGGGTGTTGTGGCACGTGCCTGTGGTTCCAGCTGCTTGGAAGGCTGAGGCAGGAGGATCACTTGAACCCAGGAGTTTATGGTTGCAGTGAGCTATGATTGTGCCACTGCACTCAAGCCTGGGCAATCAAGTGACACACTGTCTCAAAAATAAATAAATAAATTAATAAATAATACTTATTGATGAGTTTTATAGCAAAAAGAGTTTGAAATATAATAAATAAATAAATAAATAATACTTATTGATGAGTTTTATAGCAAAAAGAGTTTGAAATATAATAATGTATCCATTATATTGCTTGTGTTAGCTAATTTTAGATCCCTGCTATTATTGCTTCTCTTTTATATAACTATCAACTATTGAGAAAAAAAATTGAGCCACCAATGCTAGTTAGGATGAATTAAATATTTAGAAGTGTAAGTGTAATTCTGTGGATTAAAAAAAAGAATTCAGAATGCATATTACTCATTGTTGACAGTGAAATAAACTGATTCTAACCCTTTTGTGATGAAGAGTACTTGGGCATATATAATTAAAGTAAATACTTTATGCAATCTATTGGATTTTGGAAGAACCCCTATTAACTACTAGAAACACTCATTATAAAAATGTCAAGGCTTAGCATGCTCAATAACCCAATGCTCCCTTTTCCTAGTAACTAATCCTATTTAAAAAATAAAACACCCACCTGACTGAAAAATCAAATTCATTTTGTTCATAGGACGAGTAAACATCAAAGATAATTTCTGTCAACTGCTTTTCCTGCACAGATGTAATCATAAGTTATTAGGAGGCATCTGTTTTTTGGCCTCACTTTATATATTTCAATTCAACCAAAATACTGAACACCTAATATGTGCTAACCATAGAGTTTTTAAAACTTTTTCTCTTTATAGATTTTATCTCTTTAACTATAATTTTTAGTTGGAGTCTGAAGACAGACTCCAGGTCCTATGTATTTGTATTTTCTAACTAAGTTACCAATAAATATTTAACTGACACATTCCCAAACAGAGGGAAAGGGAGAAGGGAACTAGTATTTATTGAATATCAACTACCTGCAATGCACTCATAGGTGCTTTACAAATATTACCTAAATTAAACTTTACAGCCCATGTTAGAAAAAAAGCCAAAAAAACCAAAAAAAAACACCAAAACCCAGCAAAAACACCTTATGGAGGCTTAACCTCTAATTAATCATAGATTTGAGCAGGGGTTCAAAGCTAGAGTTATCTGACTCTCAAACACTGTTTCCACTTCCAGTGTTGCTTAGGAGGAGTCCCTGACTCTCCAGTGCCTGATGATACATTTATTTGAGGATAACTAAACTCAGCTAAGACTCCCAATCAGAAGAGAAAAATATAGTAATTCTTAAGAGTCCTAGGTTCCTACAATTAACTCTATAAATCTGAGACAGACACTGTCCCTAATGAAGTCACTTCTGAAACAGTCACTTACGGATGCACTACATGAAATAAGTCAATACAAATATTACGTGTGTAGGTATAAAATATCACACCTATTAATACCAACTATAAGCTATGTACAGAAACTAACCTTAAACAAAAGTGAGTAGATTAAATAATACTTTCCTAAAGTGATTTCCTTATCTGCTCTAACACAGTAAAAAAGTGTTCCCTAAGTTTTACAGCAACACCAAAAAACTTTAAATAAAAAAAAAAAAAAATACACCTATGATCTTACAACCCCCAAACAATCTTGGTTTATATCTCTTCCAGTTCTCATCCTATTTTACTACTGTAATTGTAAGTCACAAAAATTGTAATTACCATGTCTTCATTTAACATCATAAGGATTTTCTAAATGTTTGCTCATTTTTGTATTTATTTTAATTTACTTAAAAAAGAAAAGGCAATAGAGCATAAGAAAGCACAGAAAGAATAATGACTCAGAATCATGTGTAGATTTGAAATCATGGCTCTGCTGCTTTTCATCCAGCCATGAGATATCTCTGAGCTGCTATTTCCTCCTTTATAAAACATGTATAATAATATTAATAAAAACAGTAATAGTAGTAAGCTTGTGGCTTGAGGAGTAAATTATATATTGTAACACACACACAAAATATACATGCCTATACACAGGAAGTTATCAATAGTGACATTATTGGCTTACTGATGATTAACAATTCCCCCTATTGTTGTATATTTACTGTATTTCCAAAATTTCCCAACATTTTAAAAACTGTAAACTGTTATCTTTGATGCAGCTTTTGCTTTAAAAAGAATTATTATCTTCAGGTGAAATGTTTCTATCACTAGATTTAACAAGTCTAGCTAACATGAACAATTTTTATAATGTTATCTATTTTCTAAAAAGGATGTAACAATTTACATTACTATTAATAATGTTTGTCTGTAACTGGTTTTATACCAATCTAGAAAAAAACCATGAATTAGAGTTACTTAAAATGTCTGCTGATTTAGTATTGATAAAAATGGTAACTAATAGTTACTTTAATTTGGATCTTTTTTTACTTACTGAGCTCATCCCTTTCTTATACATGTTCCAGAAAAATACTTCACTACTACTGTACTGGCAGATATTTTCATCAACCTAATCTAACTATAATCTTACTGGTCATCTGGAAGTTATTAGTTGTACTAGACAACCCTAAGTGACATATTTCACAATATTTAGGTAATCATTCCATTTATTCAGGTGAGATTTTGAGATCTACTTCCAATATTATAGTGAACTATAGTTCTGTGTTTCACTATTTTAGGACAGAAAGATTTGGATATATACTTACCACATTAGGATTAAATGGCGGTGGAATCTTCTTTTGTACAAGATCAGTCCAGCTGAGTGATTCAAAAAAAGGATGATTCTGAATTTCAAGCTAGAATATTAAAAAAAATATATTTTTTTCACTAATGCTGATGAATATAGTTAAGTACTTACTGAAGAATTTTATGAAGCTAAACTATTACAATTTTGCCCCCCAATAATTCCTTTTATGCATGTTTATGGTATTTATGCAGCAAAATTATGTTATTCATGTAGCAAAGTGGTAGAAAAACTGCCAAAATAGATCTGAAAGAAAGTTACCTAGAATGACTTACTTAAAGTTATATCCTCTCCACAGTCATCATTTCCTCAGAGGTTAAACACCTCAGAGGTGTTTAACATTTCTGTCCTAAATACTTCACAGGTTGCTTTAAGGATCAGGGTAAAATATAGAAATAAAAGTGCTATGTAAAATAGCAACTAAGGTACTAAAAAAAAAGTGCTATGAAAAGAATAAAGCACCATACAGACATGAAGAATTATTATTAGGGGAGGTAAAGAAGTTAGGCAGAGAGTTTTCTACAGTGAGACAGAGGTAAAATTAAGGTGAAGAGCTCCACTATCGAAAACATATTCCACTCTGGGCTGGTAATATTGAAGATTAGCACAGAATTGATACTAGCTTTTTTTCCTGCAAGGGGTCATGGGAGTGTATAAAGTAGGATCCAACCTTGTTTGGTGGGTTAAAGACTTTTTATAGAAACTGGTATCTGACCAGAGGTCTGAAACATGAGTAAGAATAAGCCAGATAAAAGAACAAGAGGAGGATGTTCCAAGCCGAATAGAAAGGCCCTGAGGTGGCAAGGAGTTTAGTCTGGTGAGGAAAATTGAAGTCTGATATGGTTGCAGTATATAGAAGGATGGGACAGTCACGCAGAGGACTGTCACATAGCTCTGAAGCTCAAGAGCTAAACCAGCCACATATCAGGTCTATATTAAGAATTTTGGATTTTATTCTTGGGTTATAAGAAGACATCAAGGAGTTTTAGTTAGACAATGTCACAACTGTTTTTTTTTTTTTTAAAGACCACCCTGGCTATAGAGGGAAATGGAAAGTCAAGACCAGATAAAGGAAAAATAGCTGCTGTGTGGCCAAACTAAAAGACAACAAATGGTAGGAAAAGAGTAGCAGCAGCAGGGCTAGAAAGAAGTATGTGGATATAGGAAAGATTTAGGCAGCAAATGCAACAGGACCCAGCCATTTGTTGAATATGGAAGTATGGAAGAGACAGGAGTCAAGAATGCCTCTCATATTCCTGACCTGAATAACCATGTGGACAGTGACATCCTTTTACATGAAAGGGAGCACAGGAGGATACTAGCAGGAGTTCAATTTTGAACATGCTGTGTTTAAGGTACTCTCAAGCTATGCAAGTGGTGGTGTTGGGCAGGCAGATTGTGTACATTTAGAGTGCAAAAGAAAGGTCTAGACTGAAGATATAAATGTGTTTGATGAAGACATACAGATAACTAAAACCATGGGACCAGCTGAGATTGTCCAGGAAGAGAGCACAGAAGAAGAAAAGAGGGTTTAGGACAACAAGGAACTGCTACACTTAACAGGTTGAAGAGGAGCTTACACAGGAGATAATGGAGGAGGGCCCAAAAATACAGAAAGAAAATCATGAGATGAGATGTATGCTCTTGCAGAAACCTAGAGAACAGGAGAGCGTTGCATTTAAATGCTGCTGAGAGCATAAGCAGCTATTCTAATGGCTATCTTGTGATAGGCTGAGAAATCAAAGAGCTTGGGAAAGGGAGAGTGAACACAGAAAACTTTCAACAAGTTTGGCTAAGAGGGGAAGATAGAGTAGTATCCTGCAGGACAGCAGGGTTGAGATACTTGGTGTTTTATGAAGCAGGGGACTTGGTAATGTTTAATTATTGATTGAAAGGAATCAAAACAAAAGGGAGCAGTTATCTGTGCAGGGAAAAGAAAATACATCCACAGGGTTCCTTGCAAGGAGATGGATTCAGTGTACAGGTAGAAACAGACCTTTTCCCTTTTTTTTTTTTTGAGTCAGAGTCTCCCTCTGTTGTCCAGGCTAGAGTGCCGTGACATTAGCCCACCTCACAGCAACCTCAAACTCCTGGGCTCAAGCAATCCTTCTGCCTTAGCCTCCCAAGAAGCTGAGACTATAGGCATGCGCTACCATGCCTGGCTAATTTTTTCTATATATATTTTTAGTTGGCTAATTAATTTCTTTCTATTTTTAGTAGAGATGGGGTCTCGCTCTTGCTCAGGCTGGTCTCCAACTCCTGACCTTGAGCGATCCTCCCACCTCGGCCTCCCAGAGTGCTAGGATTACAGCGTGAGCCACTGCACCCAGCCCTTTTCCACTTTCTATAATAGGAAGAAGGAAATGGCAAGTTCCTGTAGGTGTATATAGGTCTGCAAATTTGATAGCAGGAGGCTGGGTTAGTGCTGCTCTGATGGCTCTATTTTCCCTATCAAACAGAAGGCAAGATCATCTGCTAAAAGTGAAGAAGAGGCAGAAAAGCAATCTGGAAGTCTGGAGAGAAGGCATTACATACTAGAGAGAGCAGGAGAGTAAGTGAAAGAGAGAAACACAGGAGCATTACTAGACAGTGGTGAAGCACAGAGCAGGTTCATGACTATGATGTTACAATGCTTTCAAAATGCCCAGCATGTTATTTTCTTCAGTACTGTTCAGCAGCCCAGGAGATGACAGTTGAATTCATCCAGGGATGCAATTTCTGCCAGTGAATTCAATAAAAGGACTAAGGAACAAGGAGGTGTGAAATATTAGCAAGACTGGCTGAAACAATGGATAGAAAATTATTGAGAGAGCTACCAGCTGAACTGGGGAGTTAGGGAGGGAGGATAAGAAAGCAGTAGCAGCAAAGTCTTTTATTCGCAGCTCAAGTTCAAGATTGATAAACAACCTCCAAGAATACCTGAGAAAGGAATTTAAAAGTTCATGTTCCTAAAAAAGTTTGTGAATATACTGACATGTTAACATATTACTGATAACTACACTAGAAATTTAATTACCCTAATTTGAAACAAACATGCAGATTCCCTAATTATCTCAATAAGTTACCACCAAATTCTTTTTTTCAAAAAGGTGATTTAATGTTAGTTCAAGGCAAAAGGTATTACCTCGTGCAGACAAGATGCACTTAAATTCTTGTTAAGGAAAATTATTAAAAAGTTTAGGTAGCCGCAAACTCCCAACAAAAAGCTTACTTAATAGCTGGTTGGTCTCTGTGGTATTAATTCATGGAAATGCTAGTATTATTTAGCAATGAAAATAAAAATTGCAACAAAACTTTAGGTAGTTAAAAACATACACCACATAGCATTTTTTAAAAAGAAGGGAAGAGGACAGGAACTTGTAATAAATAAAAATAAAATAAATAGTAGGGTGTGAAAGCTGGATGTGGGGAAGAAGAGAAGCAAATCGTTACAAAAACCAAATGAAAAAATGCAAGTGAAAGGGCTTTAAATACTGTACAAACACAGGTGAAAACTGTGGAGACAAGTATGCTTTTATCCCATGTTGTTATTCTCTAACAGCTGTATTCATTCCATTAAATACCATATAAAATAAAGATTTATCTCCTAATTTTAAATAAGCTTAAATAAAGCTGGAACTGGGAAACATGTTACATACAAAGTCTTCTTTGGCACCAAGTCGATTTTGCCGGTCTTTTTCTAGAAGTTCCTCCAGAATGGACCAGGCTGTGAGGCTCACTCCTGGCCTCAAACTCAGGGGTTTGTGAAGGATATTGTCATACATTTCAGCAACATCTCGGCAATAAAAAGGAGGCTGGGAAAAAAGAAGAGCAAAATAAACTTAGTGTCATTGAATTATGCCAAAACAGGGCTATAATAGTTGGATTTGGCTTTGGTTGCAGGGAGCAGTCAGGGCTGCACACTTGCAGAAAATGCATGGGCCTGCTGGAGTATGTAGACATCTGCAGTGTGGCCTCCCGATGCAAGGAGACTCTAAAACCCAGCACATCACAGAGCTTAATACATGTTCACAGAATGGAGTAGGGCCAGTTTGTTCAATAGCGCCTTGTAGACAGCTGTTAAATTGTATATAACTTGTACCTGTTTTAGAGAAAACCACCAACCTCATTATAGTCATAATGATAGAATCACTGGAAATGGAGATTCAAAGACGGAAACCCAAAGCTAATGCTCCTTCCTAAGTACTTATGACAGTGACAGCATTATGGATGGATTTTGTAGAATTAAAAGTATCAGAGCCTAAAGACCTGGGGTATACCTTTAATATGAGCATTAGCCAGTTAATCATCAAATTAAAAAGTTTAAAGTAAAAATAAGTTTTAAAGTTAAGGGAGTTTTATAGGCTTGTTACTTTTCCTTTCTTTTTTAAATATAAAAACCCCTTTATTTTACTTTTTAAAATATAACTTTAAAGAGGCAATGAAAGTCTCATTAAGTATATGTTTCAAATGGTCCCTTTTGAATCAACTGCATTTTATATATAATGATATATTTTATATTTTCAAAGTCCTCTAAACAAATTCAAAGGATTCTGAAATATCAAGATGGCAAATAACCAGTGCTTGAAGTAAAGGATAAAGTCGTTTTCCTCATGTGCTGAATTTCACTGAAACCCCCATAGTTTTCAGGAAAAACAAACACCCTAACTCAGGTCTCAGGTGGCATTTAGCATCAGTGGTGGCAGCAGCCTCAGGGATTAGCACATGGGTCCAAGCATGTGGCTCCTGGACCCTTACAGGACCACAGAGGAAATCTAGAAACTATTCTAAATATTTCAAAAAGCCTAAAGAAAACCATACATTTATTCTTATGAAGATATATAAGCTAACTAAAATGCATAAATCGTTCGCTTTGCGTTAGAACAATGTTAACATACTAAAACAACTTTACTCATGTTAATCAGAGCTCTGGTTGGCCATATGTGTCTTGAACTAATAAAAACTGGGGAAATCTACTGCATATTAAACATCACTTTTTTCAGTAAAATCTTTAGGACATGGTGTTTTCAGGGAAGGGAATACAGGGTAATCTCCAGTGATGGAAAAAGCTGACATAGCCTATAAAAACAAAACAAAAGACAAAAAGCAAAATATATTATCTTCTGAAATATAATAATGTGCTGATAAAATGCAAAAATCTTTTTCTTTCCATCTTTTTGAAATCAGAATGATGTTTAGGGTAAATTGAATAAAAGCAGATAATTTTAATGTTACAAGTAGGTGTCTACTTCTAAAAGTGCCAGTGGGATGCAAACACCTGAAGTAACGATTAGTATGACAGAGAAATAATTTTATTAGTTCAAAAAACTAGTAACAGAATGAAAAGGGTTTCTTTTTGTGCATATTCCTAATATGGTTTTGGATTCATTTAACCAGGCCATTACTGTTCTGTTAGTGTCGTCTAAGTGTTCATTAGATTATTAAGGGAGAGAGACAGACACATAGAGAAAGGAGAGAACTAAATCAATGCTAATACATTGGAATAATAAAGTGTAGATAATACATACCAATCCATACAGCATTTCATACAGAACAGCACCAAGGCACCACCAATCTACAGTATTGTCATAGGGCTGTTTTCTGATTACTTCAGGTGCAAGGTACTGTAGAAAAGAATGAAATATTAGAGAAAATCAACTCAAGACAAAATCTAAAAATAATTGAGAAATGTAACAAATTTTAGATGTTACCTATCACACTAAAAACATATTATCTAGATTTTCAATGGGTTGGGTGTTCTCCATTCTATACCAGTGGTTTTTTAGGCAGTATCAACTGGGCACTTTTCAAAATACATGTATTCATGTACTTCTCCTTTGAAACTGTTAAGAACAGTTAAGACAAATACGAGAGGATAGCAAATGTAGAATCTAAAGTACCAAGTATGTAAAGTAGGTATTTTAGGGGAAAGTCTTTCACAAGATTAATTTATACTAGAAGTTCATCTGGCCATTATTAGTGTAGCAATTATAATACATTTTTTTCTTTTCAGTGAAACAAAAAAGAATGAATTGTATTCTTGAGAACTACAATAGTAATAGATATCAACATATCATACAGAAAAATTGTGTAAGTTGTTAGATGGCTATTACATTTTAATTTGCAAAAAATTTAAATTCATCACAATTTCACACATACATTAAAATGGCAAACTTGAATTTTAAACTCAAAAATATATTACCTCTTCCCATGTGACATATATGTAAGGAAATAGTTTCTTCTTAAACTTTTTTGTAATCCAAAAAATAGCAAAATATATAAAAAGGATATAATAATATCTAATCACATTTAGATTTAGGTGACCAAAAATACTTGCATTTCCTTTCTAAAAACTACAAGACTTAAAGAAGATTTTGACACCAGGAGCAGCGGCTCCTGCCTGTAATCCTAGCACTTTGGGAGGCTGAGGCCAGGAGTTTTGAGACCAGTCTGAGCAAGAGCAAGAGCAAGACCCCATCTCTACAAAAAATAGAAAAATTAGCTAGGTGTGGTAGTGCGCAGCTGTAGTCCCAGCTACTCAGGAGGCTGAGGGAGGAGAATTGCTTGAGCCCAGGAGTTAGAGGTTGCAGTGAGCTATGATGACACCACTGCACTCTAGCCCAGAAGACAGAGGGAGACCTTGTCTCAAAAACAAAACAAAGCAAAACAAAACAAACAAAAAAAAAAAGACAGGGGAATGGGGAAGGGGAGGAAAGAAAAAGAAGAGAAAGAAAAAGATTCTGAGAGAAGGCTCAAGATGGCCAACTAGACACAAGTATAATGTGCCTCTTGCACATTTCGGAACCAGAATAATAAGCAGGTACTCATATTCTGAATAAATTGTCTAGGAGAGAATGCTAGGATTCACCAAGGAAGCAATGGGAAGCACCAAAGTGGTTAAGCAGAGGGTTCAGGGCAACAGGGACTGGCTAACAGCAGGGAGAAGCTCCTAGAGTGAGGAAACAGTAAGAGTGAAGCCCCTGGGGCTCCACACTCTGAAACAAGTTTTTACGATCTTGGCTACAAGAGAGCCCCTATGCATGCAGGTGTCGGGCCTACCACAGAGTACTGTTTGGAGATTGCACAGAGTCATTAATCCATAAGGGAACCCATTCGGAATCCCATCGGCATCCAAGCCTACAGCAGCTGGAGCTGGATGCCATTCTGAGAGCCTAGATATTGGGGAACTGCATGTGCGCCTACAGCTACTGTGTGGCTCGGAGGAGGGAGAGAGGAGCCCAGATGCTCCCACACACCCATGGGAAGGTCCCCACCGCCCTGCTGCAGAAAACCCAGAAAAAACTCATTTGGACATTGGCCTAGGCAAAGAATTTATGATGGTGACCCCAAAAGCAAATGGAACAAGACCAAAAACAGACAAATGGGACTTAATTAAACTAAAAATCTTCTGCATAGCAAAAGAAATTACCAAAAGAGTAAAAAGGCAACCTACAGGTAAGGAGGAAATATTTGCAAACTATGTATCTGACAAAGAACTAATATCCAAAATCTACAAAGGAACTCAAACAACTCAGCAAGAAAAAAGCCAACAACCCTATTAAAATGTGGTCAAATGACTTGAAAAGACATTTTTCAAAAGAAGATATACAAATGGCCAAAAAATATATTAAAAAATGCTCAACATCAGTAATCATCAAGGAAACACAAATTAAAACCACAATGAGATATCATCTTACTCCAATTAGAATGCCTATTTTTTTTTTTTGAGACAGAGTCTTACTTTGTTGCCCAGGCTAGAGTGTGTGCCATGGCATCAGCCTAGCTCACAGCAACCTCAAACTCCTGGGCTCAAGCAATCCTGCTGCCTCAGCCTCCCGAGTAGCTGGGACTACAGGCATGTGCCACCATGCCCAGCTATTTTTTTTTCTATACATTTTTAGTTGGCCAATTAATTTCTTTTTTTATTTATAGTAGAGACGGGATCTCACTCTTGCTCAGGCTGGTTTCGAACTCCTGACCTCGAGCAATCCGCCCGCCTCGGCCTCCCAGAGTGCTAGGATTACAGGCATGAGTCACCGTGCATGGCCAAGAATGCCTATTATTAAAATGTCAAAAAATAATAGATGGTGTGGATGCAGTGAACATAAAAACTGCTGGTGGGAATGTAAATTAGCACAATCTCTATGGAGATCAGTATGGAGATTTCTCAGAGAACTGAAACTAGATCTACCATTCAATCCTGCAATCCCACTACTGGGCATCTACTTGGAGAAAAAGAAATCATTGTATCAAAAAGATACTGGTATTCTCATGTTTATCACAACACAATTCACAATTGCAAAGATATGTAATCAACCTAAATGCCTATCAACTGGTCAGTGGATAAAGATAATGTGGTGTGTATATATACCATGGAGTACTACTTAGTGATAAGAAAGAATGAAAAAAATGTCTTTTGCAGAAACTTGGATGGAACTAGAGGCCATCCAAGTAACTCAGGAACAGAAAAATAAATGCTACATGCTCTCACTTATAGGTAGGAGCCAAATTACAGCTATACAAGGACACAGAGTGGTATAATGGACATTGGAGACTCAAAAAGAAGGAAGATGGGAGAGGGTGAGGGATAAAAAATTACCTATGGGGGGCACAATGTACACTATTCAGGTAATGGGTACACTAAAACCCCAGACTTCACTGCTATACAATATATACATATAATGGAATTCAACTTGTACCCTTTGAATCTATTTTTAAAAAGCAAAAGAGAATGATTTTAACTATGAAATGAATATACATTCACAAGACATGTTTCTTCATGCATAAATGAAAATAGTTATAAATATATCCAAGAGCTACAGTTATATTAGAAAGAAATAAAGAAAAAATAAGTTTCAAGATAAATAATTGTTTATCTAACAAACTTTTAATTAAGTTTCTGATCTTGATTAGCAGGTTCATGTGAACTATTTTATCATGCATTTTCAATAATGTATTTGCAAATACTTCATGATAATAATTAAACATTACATGGCATCTAAGATCACTATTAATACAACAATTTAAAATAAACTAAACGTGTGTGTGTGAAGTGAGAACAATAAGGCTTTTAAATAAATTATAAGGATTATTATCACAAACAGACATATTTTCTGCTAACAAACATGATTAGAGGGTGGGATATTCTGGTTAATGAATTCTGATTCACTTTTTCCCCTCATTCATTGCTTTTTCTTCTGTTAGATAAATAGTTTTATTATAAAATATTACAACCATATAGAAAAATATAACAGAAACCAAGCTATAATCCAGATATAAGCAATGTTAATATTTTGCCATATTTGCTTTAGTTCATTTTAAAAAAATAGCTTTATTAACATCTTCACAAATTACACAATTCACCCAGTGTACAATTCAACGGCTGTTAATATATTCACAGTTATGCAACCATAATCACAGTCAATTTTAGGATATTTTCATGACTGCTTCATGATTTTTTTTGAAGGATTAGAAATATAATTAAATCTTTAAACAACTGTAGGTAAACTTTTAGCATTAAAAACAAGCATAATTTATCTTCGTTAGATTATTCAAAAGGGTCTTGTGGTATCTCACAATCACAGTTAAAAATACAACTATTACTAAACTCTGAATGTACAGAGGGATGATTATCACTTGGTTGGAAACTGAAATGATAGTTTTTATTCTACTTTTCTTATTTCAAATTTATATATGCAATTTGTGATTTGTATTTGTATCTTATACATGATTATATGAATGACAAATCAGACATATTTCTTACCTCTGGTGTCCCACAAAATGTGGTGGTGGTATCAGAGATGGCAACTCCTTCTTTACAAAGCCCAAAATCTGTTAAGACAACATGACCCTGACAAATACAGAGGCAAGAAGATAAAACAATACAAGGATATAAATTGAAAATTTTTAAAACCTTCTTATTTAACATAATTATAGATCTACAGGAAATTGCAAAAGTAATACATAGAGTACTTGCCCAGCTTCCCCAATGCTGACATCTCACATAACAGCAGTACAATATCAAATAGGAAACTGACATTGGCATAATACTGTTAACCAGACCATGAACCTTATTCAGTTTTCACTGTTTTTTACATGCATGCTTGTGTATGTGTATGCATCTATATATAACTACAGACGTACTGATTCGTGGACTGTTCCATCACAAAAGATCTCCCTTGTGCTACCCCCTTAACTTGTGCTATCTCCCTGGACCCTGCCCCCTTACAACGACTAATCTGGTACCCATCTCTATAGTTTTGTCATTTTGAGAATGTTACGTAAATGAAATCATGTAGTATGGAACCTTTGAGACTGACTTTTTTCCACTAACCATAACAGCAGCAACAAAATTGAGAACTAGTAAAAAGAGAACACTTACTACAGAATCCAGAAGAATATTTTCTGGTTTCAAGTCTCTATCAAATTAAAAGGAAAGAAAAGCAAAACTGAATATAAACTGAAATAAAATATTAAAAAGACATTTTTACAAGTAATATTTAAAAATTTTACCTGTACACTATTTTTATGGAGTGTAAGTAACCCAATGCACTGGCAATTTCGGCAGCATAAAACCTAGCTCTGTGTTCAGGAAAGGATCGTTCTCTTTGTAAGTGAAAAAACAGCTGTAAAATTGGGGGTGGGAGGAGAGAATGTTAGGCTCATTCACACATAACATTAAACAAATATATTCTGTAAATACAAAGGTGGGAATTGTTTTTGTGACTTTGAAGGTGAGATAAAAATGCACCACAGAACTGTAACTCGAACCCTTTCTAACATCTCTCATCTCCCATTTACCCCTCAATCCTCAATGCGGCAGTGTCCTCACCCTTCCAGGCAACTGCTAGGGACAAAATTATCAATGAAGACTTGATATTGCCATTCTGAACTATTTCTTTTCATTTTAGAAAAACAAACCCTATGCAGAGACTGAAAATGCGTGGCTAGCAGCACACAGTCCACAGGTATAATTTGCTTAAGCCAAATACTGCTTTTAGAAAAATCTGAATTAGTTGATAACATTAAAACCTGGGAATTTGGGGGGTAACAATTCATAGTTTTGGTTTCTTCTGAGAAAGGGGGGCGGGGAAGGGAAACTCTGAACCATTAGGCATAAATTCTAATGTGGTAGCGACTGGGTAGAGCTGAGCAACAGCTGAGCTCTCCTCTCCAGTTCACTTCTTATTTGTTCACACTCTACTTTGCTCCAAAAAACATATGAAGGAGCATACAAAAATAAGTATCACATGTCAAGGCTAAAATACAAGTATGAACATCAGGGCAAAAATAACAGCATACTAGTAGGGAACACATAATGGAACCACATTCCTTCTGCCTCTTTTTATCCTTTCTCATCTTTCCTCCTTGTCTACCTATTGCCTCACTCAATTTCTCCTCCACCCACCCTAGCATTCTATTACATTTCTTTCTTTTTCTAATTATCTTAGCCAAGTGTTATCTTTTAGATGATAAGCCTACCTCTTTCCATCTTTCTTGCTCAGTTTCTGTGTAGTCAGTGTTTAGAAGGGACTGCGTAGCACAGGCTTAAGACATCCTGCAGGATTCCGCCAGGATTCCGCAGTAGGTTTTCGTTTGGATTTAGTCTGCCGTTGGCCTTTCATGGACATTTTGGCGCTTGCGTGTGGGTTTTGCATTGGGTTTGTCTTGGTTATGTCCAGGGCCCGACACTTATTGTGACATTAAGAAATTACATTGTGACATTAAGAAAGTTACTTCTCTGAGCCACCATTTCCTTATCTATAAAATGGGTATTAAAGTGTTTACCTCAAACAGTTGTGATGATTAACTAAAACCATGCATGTAAAATAAATGGAAAGTGCCAGGCCTCAAAAAACTGTCATCATCTCTTAGCACTCAGGCACGCACAAAATAAAACAACAAACTTCAAAGTGCGGAACAATGGGGGGTGGGGGGAGGTCCTTTACAACACTGAATAAAGGTGCTGGGAAGACTCATAATGTTGCCCTGACCCTGAGGAGTCTTAAGGGACTTTTGTCATAAATGTAGGGAATTGAATAATGATTCTTTTTAGACTTTTCCCCAAAATGATCTCAAGGTGTGTCTGATCACCTTTTGGGACTGCAGGATAGAAACTGCTCTTCCTTCTAAGTTCCTTTATGCTACAGTTAAACGTACTATATAGTGAGGCTGAACTATTCTTTGTCTCCTCTCTCTGGCTCTGAGATTGGAAGATGGAAAATCCCTTTGTAAATATATGACAATATCTATGAGTTAAAGTAATTTTTAGAGGGGGGAGGGGGGCCAAGGGCAATATATTTAACCGTAACATTTGTACCCCCATAATATTGCTGAAAAAAATAAATATAAAAAAATAATAATTTTTAGAGACATTCACAGGTCAAAGATCAAACAAGTGCTTTCCTCCCCATTTTTTTTTTTTTTTTTTCCGAATTTGTTTTGCGGGTAGAATTCGTTACAAAACGGCAGCCTGGGGCGTGCAGGGCGCGGACGGTTCTCTGCTCCCGGCCCCCACGGAGGCGCGCCCGGGCAGGTGTCCGAGACTCGGGGCCTGCGGAGCGCGTCCTCCGGGCTCTCCGCGGACTGGAAGTGACCAGACCGGCCCGAGCACCACGACTGCGGCCCGGCCAGTGCTGTGGCGGCCGCCCCGGGTGGTTTGAAAAAATGGCCAAAAGAACTGCCCAGAAGGAACCGACAGACAGGAACTGGGATCAGGAAGATGAAGCCGAAGAGGTGGGAACATTCTCAGTGGCCAGTGAGGAAGTCTTGAAGAACAGAGATACAAAGAAAGAGAAGCGCAGAAATGTTGGATTTGAATCTGATAGTGGAGGTGCCTTTAAAGCTCTGGTCGCAGATCCTGGAGGAGGAGGGTTTTCTGGATTTGGTAGTGGTGCTGGAGAGAAGCCTCTGGAAGGAATGTCAAATGGAAACAGCATAACCAGCACCACTCCCCTCACCAGTGCAGGGGTGGCCACAGGGACCAAGGCGGCCTCTGGTCGTGTTGCTGCAGGCGGCTCTACCACCTCGGTTGATAAAACGATTTCAAATGCCAAAACTAACAGGGACAGTCAGCAGCCTTCCTCCTCTGGCCTTGCTTCCAGCGAAGCCTATGCCAACAATCCTTGGAACAAGCAGCTGACTATCTTGAACTGCTGCGTTCGGGACTGGATAGCGAAGCATGTGAACGCAAGCCCGCTCTGTGATCTAACGCCTGTCTTTAAATACTATGAGAAATATCTGGAGAATATTATACAGCACCACAGAAACTATGTCAGTGGCCATTATCAAGGTGAAACTAACAAGATGGTGGTTGAAAAGCAGTCTCCTTCCCTACTTGGTTCAACAAAATTACAGGAAGAGTCAGCATATTTGTTCCACGGCAACAAAACTGAAGATACATCCGAAAAGAAGACTGAGGTTGTGTCTGAAAAGAAAACGGACCCATCACTAGGAGCAAAAAGTGCCCCATTTAATTTTGGCAAGAAAACCGATAGCTCTGCTTTGGGCTCATTAAGCTCTGGCCCCCTGGCTGGACTTGCATTTTCCTCTGGAAACTCCAGTTTATTTGGCAAAGGTATTGCCCAGAATAAACCAGTTTCTCTGCCATTTTCCACTAAAACACTGGAGAGCCAAGCAGAGGGTGGCAGTAATGAATGGAAAGGTGGAGATGAAGGAGGGAATTATGAGCCACTCAAAGTAGTTGTTACAGAAGTAAAAGAAGAAGGTGCTTTATACTCCAAAAAGCAATGTATTGATTCCACCCAATATGCCATGTACCCGAACAGGGAAAAATAAGGTACTTATTGTCTGTGTTCCAAATCCACCAGTTGATGAGAACAATGCCACTATCCCAGTCACCATGTTAATCTGGGTAAAAAATAGCTAGGATGCAGATGAGTTGCACAAAATCTGACTGGAGAAAAAGGATGCCTGAACAGATGAAGTCAAGTGAGGAATTACTGCCAAGTTGCTGTTTCCCCCACCACCCCTTAAAACTTAGTTTTTCTTCTCTTCGTACTTTGACATTCTAAGAACTTACAGATAATTTAACATTTTTGTGAGGAAGATTAATATGGCCAATAAAACCTTTAAATATTAAGTGTTAAGAAACTGTATTCTCCCTTCTTAAAAACTGTCTGATGAGTAGAATACATTTGAATGAAATTTTTTACAAGATTTTTAAATGTTCATTTGTTTATTAAAGTAACCATAAGTGATTTCAAAAAGAAAAGTGTGAGGGTTGAGAAGTAGAGGAATGGGAATGGTCATTTGTCTAAATCCTGGAATCAGATTGCTTGAGTTCAATTCCTCCCTCTAATACTTACTAATCACATGACTTCCACAAGCTACCTAGCTTCTCTGTGCCTCCATTTCTACAGTAAGATTGTTGTGGAGATAATACATAGAAAGCCAGAGTGCTGGGCACATAATGATAATTGATACATGTTAGTTTTTACTGTAATTATTATTATAATATTTCGATATACCTCTCTCTGAATCAGCATTTTGGGGGAATATTATTCATAGATTTGGTTCAAACAAAAATGGGACTACACAGTAAAAAAAAAAATCTCAAGATATCCTGGCTTTCCTTAAGGCAGAACTTTCTGTCTTTAACATGCTGAAACACACTGCAAATCACCAAGAAATGATATAACATGAAACATTTCCCAAACTGACTTCACCACACCATCCTTTATTAGAGGACCATCTCATCTGTTTATTATTAATAGTTTGCAATTTTAGAAAATGACAAGCTGGTATATTTATATGCAACTGTTGGAATAATTATCCAAATTATGAATCATGTTTTAGTCTAATATTCGGATCTATTATTCTTGCTATATATCTTGGTGACAAATCTGTCCATGAAGTCTGAAGCTTCATACCAAGGTTCTTCTTTTATGAACCTTCCCAACTATACCATGTGATTAAGAACCCCATGTTATATTTTGCCACATCTTGCACTGTACTTAGTGCCTGGAATATTACTGCTACTCAACAAATAGCTATTGATAATGCATTGTCCTTCTAAAACTTACAAGAAAAGAAAAATTCTGACTTTGCTATTTTTTCTAAATTATTAATATTAGAAAACTAATGATAAAACTCACCTCCCCTCCATTAATAAAATCCAGAACAAAATAAAGTTTTTCAGTTGTTTGGAAAGAATAATGTAATCCAACCAAAAATGGATGTTTCACATTTTTCAAAAGCACATTACGTTCAGCCATAATATGTTTTTGCTGGAAAAAAAGGTAAAGGATCAATTGTATTATCTACCAAAAACAATTCTGTTAATTGAGAAAATGGGCTTAAGACAAACAATAGCTATTATAATTTTACCTCTTTTCTGTTGAGAACTATTTTTTTCTGTAACACTTTGACAGCATAAAATTTTCCATCCAGTTTCCGTTTTGCAAGAAGAACCTGTGACAAACATTATGCATGCTATTAGAAATTTCAATATTCTGATAGGAATAATTCACTTGTCAATAAATCAGTACTTATTAAATTGTGTAAAAAGAAAGTCCACACGGGACCTAGATATCTTTTTGTTTTGAAAATCAAGAACTATTGAATTTATTTCCATAATTCTATTTTTCTCTAAATATTTTCATTTGTTGTTCATAAAGATGGAGTGAAAACATCTTCAGGGTGAAAATATCTTCTGCTCAATCGTTAGGATTTTTCTTTTGTTTTCCACAGCATTTGATTCCGTTGAATGTTCCTTCCTAAAATTTTTCCTTTTCTTGACAACTCTCTCACCTGCCTGATATTTCCTTCTCCAATATTTTGATTGGTTCATCTTCAAGTAAATCCTGAGAAAATAATTCAAAGGATGTGGCAATTTATTGATTCCCTTCAAGCAGGTATTTTTTTTTTCCAGTAGAAAGGCAGACTTGGAGAACAGATAGAAATTTAAAAAGCAAATGGGTAAAAGAAAAGTGGAACTAAGACCATACACTGGAGAAGGGTTTAGAATAAATGTTAGACTGCCATTATTCCTATTTAGTTTATCACATATATTTTTCTACTTTTCAAATAGATTGTGAATTTGCATTTGCTTTTCCTTTTTTTTGTCTATTCTGCTTTTGTGCTGTATTTTGTTTCTAACCATTTTGAAAATTTTAAATTTTTATTAAATATAGCATACATATGGAAACATTCAAAAATCATTACAGCTCAATAAATTATTACAAAATGAACCCACCTATGCAACCACTATCCAGGTCAAAAAATAAAACAGTAGCCCGAAGCCTCCATTTTGACCCATCCCAGTCATGACTCATCTCCCTCAGCCTCCAAGGTAATGACTGGCATCTCAACTTGCAATAGCACAGGTTAAGTTTTGCCCTTTTTTGAATTTCAGGTTATTAGAATCATAAAGTTGTCTCAGTCTTCTTTCACTCTTATATAAGTTTCATTCATGTTGTGACGTGGCATAGTTTTCATATTTTTATTGCTGTGTAGAATATTCCTTCATTACCTGACATACCACAATATATCCCTGTTTTGTTGGTAGGTATCTGGATTGTTTATCAATAATGATGCTATAAGCATTCTTCCATATATTTTCCTAGTGCATGCGCATTTCTCCTGGATGTGTAGCTAGGAGGAGAACCAATGTGTCACAGGTAATGCATATATGTAAATTCAATAATTAACACTAGTTTTCAACAGCATAAAAAACAAAACATCTAGGAACAAATCTAATTAAAGTTGTAAACTTTAATTTACAACTTACAAGTTGTAAAAAATTCTAAACAGATCACTATAAAATAGTATTCAGAAAAATTAAAGATGAGCTAAACTAGCAAAGAGATATATCCTGGCATGGATTGGAAGACTCAATATTGTAAAGCGGACAATTCTCCAAACTGATCTACAGATTCAATGTAATATCAATCAAATTCCAACAGAATTTTTGCAGTAATTGACATGCTGATTCTGAAATTTATATAGATATGCAAAGGGTTAAGAATATCCTTTTGAAGAACAAGGAGGGAGGACTTGTTCTGTTGGATATCAACCTACCAGTTGTTAAAATAATGTGGCGTTGGTGCCAGGGTAAACAAATAGGCCAATGAAACAAAATATATAAAATCTAGAAACAAATACAGAACGTAATATCTAAAAACAGTCCTGTGACTATCTGGACAGCAGATACATGATGAAGATAGCCCTGGAAAAAGTAGTCTTTTCATAAATTGTGTGGGGTCAGCTGGTTATCCATATGGGAAAAAATGAACTGTTGACTCTACACCTCACATTATGTGCAAGAACCAATTCCTGATAAACTCTAGATCTAAATGTGGAGCTTCCAAAACATAGGGTTTTTTTGGTTTGTTTGTTTGTTTTTTGAGACAGGATCTTGCTATGTTGTTCAGGCTAGTCTCAAACTCCTGGGCTCAAGTGATCCTCCCACACCAGCCTCCAGAGTAGCTGGGATTACCGGTACGCACCATGGTGCCCAGCTCAGATAATGCTTTTGTTTCTAATTAATAAATGACCTCTAGCATCCCAGTAGAATTTGGGGCATTTTAAGAGCAGAATTAATTTCTAACTTTCTATGGTTTATAGTAGCATGATGTCCAGTAAGTAGCAGGTGGACAATATATATTTGCTGAATGAATAAACACACATGGGTTTAACTGTATGGCCATAGTTTCTGGTCTCTAGGGAACTCAGAAAACAAACTAGAGTTACCAAAAGCTATGCATACAGCAAAATATAATAGAACACATACATATTCATTTTTACTCCAGACTGAAGTATAGTACTAAAAGCATTTAAATATGTATTTGATGATTCTGTTATTTCACTATGATGTTTTCTTGATATGCCTGGCCTTAAGTGATTCTCTTTCCTTGGTATGGCTATACTGTGAAGTTATGTGATTCATGTGACACCGTGAGAGAATGAACGGGGTCTTCACACATTCCTTTCCTTCCCAAATTGTTATTTACACAGCTGCTCATTTTTGTCTTTCCAGCTTCAGCTTATATAGTACATCTTCCAAGAAGCCATCCTTGACCAACCCATCTCAGGCAGCGGGGACTTTCCCCTAGCTGCCTACTGTCCTCCCTCACTTCACCCTATGCTTCATTTCCTTCATTACTATTTTTATTATTTACTTGACTGAGTATTTTTAATTGATTATTTCCCTCACCAGGTTGTAAGCATCACAAAAGAAGTAACCACGTCAGTTTCTGCCAGTATCTAACCAGGGCCCAATAAGGTACTTGGCACAGATATTAATAAGTATCTGATGGATAAATGAACTTTATTTTAGAATCTGAGTAGAAACCTTATCTCCCTAATTACTGTTAGTACTTTGAGGGTGGGGGAAGTAACTTAGTTCTATATCCTGCATACCAAAAAGTCTCTGGCTCACACACATAAAGCATGCATTCCTTCAGTACTTACTTACTGAATGAGAAAATAAAAACATTCTTACCTTGCCAAAGCTGCCTTTTCCAATAACTTTTAAGAAATCAAAGTCGGTTGGTTTAGCACTGAAATAAATTAACAATAACAAGAATTAGCCCCCTAAAAACTGGAAAGATTATTAACCTTTAAATATTTCTAGCACCTCACTTTTTAGTAAATAAATGTTGGGCACAAAACACTTCCACATGATGACTGCAGCTTTCCACTGGCAGTAACTCATCTTTATTATATAACAGGTAATATCAATAATAGTATTAACTACTTTCTGATCAAATATTTTATAACTTTAAATTTCATTAGGTTCTGCTTAAGAGTGACTTCAGTAATATTCTCTTTGGAAGAAAAGGATATATGTATATGCTACATATATAGTTTTGAACTCAAAGTAGTCTCTATCTAAACCCTTTTTTTTTTTTTTTTTTTTTGAGACAGAGTCTTGCTTTGTTGCCCAAGCTAGAGTGAGTGCCGTGGCGTCAGCCTAGCCCACAGCAACCTCAAACTCCTGGGCTCAAGCAATCCTACTGCCTCAGCCTCCCGAGTAGCTGGGACTACAGGCATGTGCCACCATGCCTGGCTAATTTTTTCTCTATATATTAGTTGGCCAATTAATTTCTTTCTATTTATAGTGGAGACAGGGTCTCGCTCTTGCTCAGGCTGGTTTCGAACTCCTGACCTCAAGCAATCCGCCGGCCTTGGCCTCCCAAAGTGCTAGGATTACAGGCGTGAGCCACCCTGTGCCCGGGCCGTAAACCAATTTTATTAACCAAGAACAAACATTGTTAATGAGGATATGGAATATGTAAATTAGCAATACATTCCAAGGACTACCTACTATCTGGTAATTCGTCTGCAAAGGAAGTTCCTAGTTGGAATACCTAGTAGAGATGCTATGAAAATTTCTGATGGAGAAAAAAGTTAACACAGTGTTTTACATATAAATCACCTACTGTACATTAAAGATAAAAGACCTCTCTGTTTATTCGCATGGATGGTAACACAGGAAAGCCAGGAACAGAAAATCCAGAAGGAATATTAAGACTGCTTTTTATTTACGTTAGTCTATCAGGTAAAAATAGCATTGGCTTTACGTAGGCAAGAGCACACAGCAACAGAAAGTTGAGTTTAAGCAGCCAGAAGAGCCGTTTCCTTCAACACAGTCTGAATTCCTAAGTTGTACTAGGGAGAAGGGAATGATTCCAGTAAGATTTGAAACTTACTTTAATTCATTATCAAAATAAATAGCTAATTCAAACATGAGAGTAACACCAGGGCCATATTAAATAATAACAGGATAAGTGAGATAAACAGTTAACCACATTTAGATGTTTTTCTTCTTTAAAAACCTGTTCTTTGGACTATTTTATTCTTTAGTGATATGCTGAGATATCAAGATAATTTTTTAAACAAATGTAGAGTGAAAAACATGCAAATACCTCAAACACAGTAAATAAGATAAATGAGGCCATGCCCACAGCCCCATTTTTAACTGCTCCTGGTGAGCCTTAACTAAAAGCAGATTTTTGCTCAATACTATGAACAGAAAACAATGCTCAAAACCAAACTTATTCTAGTTAGCATTCTATTTCTTTGCTTTCCTTTGCAGCAAAACTCCTCAATTAAGTTTTAAAAACTCACTGTCTCTACCTGCTGTCCTCGTCTAGTTCTCTCGTGAACCCTTTCCTACCAGGGACTTATATCCACCACACCACAGACACTGCTCATAAAGATCACCAATGACTTATAGAATCTAGCGGTCAATTTTCAACCTTCATCTTACTTGCATTATCAGCAACATTAACAGAGTTAATTACTCCCTTGTCCTTGAAACATTTTATTTCCCTGATTTTGGGAAACCATATTCCTGGTTTTCCTCCTATTTTACTGACTGCTCTTTCTCTTGTCTCTATTACCAGTAATTTCTTGACTTCATGATGTTCAAGGGTCCCAGGACCCAATCCTTAGACCACTTCACCCATCTGTCTATACTCACTCTCCAAGAAGACCAAGAGGATAGAGAAAGCCTGGTGTCCTGGGATAAAAGAATACTTAGAATTAATCCAGTAAGTCTGTGCAGATAATTAACACTATACTCCTCCAACCCATGGCAGATATCACTAATCATTCAGGGCATTCCTCAAACTGAGCTAAGCAGCCCTGGCATCCTTTGTACTGAGTCTTCTAGGTGTTCACTTCCAATGAACTGCTGGAGTTGACATCTGAGATGAAGTCTATACCTGCCAACCCTGGTCTTGTTCAGAATTTCTCAGACTATGTTCCTCAAAATGTTTCCCCCATGCTCAAATAAATATGAGAACATGGGGAGAAACTCAATAAACAAAGTTTAATAGCCTTTACTATGCTAATGTCCATCATGACTCTTCTGGATCAAAAGTAAGGTGCAGCAGTAACACTGAGTACCAAGAGATATCAAGAGTATCAATCAGGCCTGCAAGGGTGCTTTCTGAGTACCTCACAGGTACCTCATAGGACTTCTGGTCCCCTGGGAAGTATGGTCGACTGATCCCACCCACCCCCCACCACCACACATATACAATAAGACTAGAAAAGTGACAATGACAAATAGCAGGACCCAACGAACAATTTGTGGATTAAAATTCCTCAGGACTATACTGAAGCAATGAAAAGCTGGAGCAGTAAATTAGTCAACATATGACAGTACTATATTCACTGTAACTATGGTTATATTTCGTAGGCCTACAATTCAAATGGTATAATTATGCATATCTGCATACTCTCAAAAAAGATCTTTCTAAAATTTAGTTAAAGGATTGTTTGAAATAAATTAAACCTACTGAGGATTTCCAGATGGTCCCAGGTTGATGTTTTGTGAGGTAGAATGTAGCTGTTTGGATGGGGGAAAAAACAACATTCTTATTAGAGCTTCAAAAATTATCAGTCAACGTTTAGAAATAAAATATACATAACTGTACCACAGATATTTGGTATATTGTCAGGCTAAAGAAATCTAAGGTTTTAGGCTGGGCGCGGTGGCTCATGCCTGTAATCCTAGCACTCTGAGAGGTGGAGGTGGGAGGATCCCTTGAACTCAGGAGTCCAAGACCAGCCTACGCAAAAGTGGGACCCTGTCTCTATTAAAAATAGAAAAAATTAGCTGGGCGTAGTGGTATGCACCTGCAGTCCCAGCTACTAGGGAGGCTGAGGCAAGAGGATAGCCTGAGCTCAGGGTTTGAGGTTGCTGTGAGCTAGGCTGATGCCACAGCACTCTAGCCCAGGCAACAAAGTGAGAGTCTGTCTCAAAAAAAAATAAAGAAAGAAATCTAAGGTTTTAATAAGTGTATAAACTTATTTGAAAACATATATAATTGATATAAATATAATTATTTTTATCATAACTTTCAAAAACAGTTGTAAGGAAAAAAGTAAGCCGGGAATCATCCTCAAAGTTGGCAAATGATGAAGTAAACTGGAAAGATCCTTGGAAGAGGAGGTTGTTTGTTTGTTTGTTTGTTTGTTTGAGACAGAGTCTCACTCTGTTGCCCTGGCTAGAGTGCCATGGCATCAGCCTAGTTCACAGCAACCTCAAACTCTTGGGCTCAAGCAATCCTTCTGCCTCAGCCTCCTGAGTAGCTGGGACTACAGGCATGTGCCACCATTCCGGCTAATTTTCCATGTACTTTTAGCTGGCCAATTAATTTCTTCTATTTAGTAGAGACAGGGTCTCGCTCTTGCTCAGGCTGGTCCGAACTCCTGACCTTGAGCTATCCACCCACCTCGGCTCACCAGAGTGCTAAGATACAGGCGTGAGCCACTGCGCCCAGCTAAAACCACAGTTTAGGAGGATCATTTTAATATGAAAAAAACTGGTTAAAATGACTGTTTCAAAACAGCTTATTAAAGACAAGAAATGACAGGATGATGATGATGATGATGCAAATGTGGATCAGTTTTTAATTTGATGGTAGTTAATACAGATGAAGTAAACACAGACAGCAGTGCTTGTCCAATTCCAGCATTGTGGTAGCTCCAACATTTTAGAAAAGATTCCTCTTTGCAACAGTTACATATAGTAAGTTTAATCTGTGGTATTAATTTAGAAGCAAATCTTTACTTATCTGGTATGCATAAAGCAATTAACTATAGAACAGATTCTAGTTCACTAATAATTAGCCAGAAATTAACTCAAATCTCAAAAAGATTATCTAATAATGTCAGAGTACTTTTATAAAGTACTCTGTCAGAGTACTTTTTATAAAAGCCAAGCGTAGGTTGAATTCTGCTTCACTAAATTCACTTTAAAATTCTTTATACATTCAGAGATAATCAGTTATAAATGTCTCAGATATGTATACTTTTACTAGTCCCTATATAATTACATATCATATAAGTATAATACAAAAACTTTTAAACTTCTCATTAATCAGAATCAAGAAAATTTACTGTTCTATTTCTTATTATAGACATATGTATATATATTTTAACTTAAATTCATTTCAAATTGATAATCTTCAGAATATAACTAATTTAAAATAAAGGGCAATACTATCCTTCAAAGTTCTTAAGTATAAGTTTCTTATTAAACAACCATAGTGGCACCAGCATTTTGGTTACAATTCAAATTTACTTCCCCTGATACCTGTATATGAAAAATCTCCATGTAATAAATTTTCAATCCAGAAGACAGAAATATATGAAATTATGACAATATAGCACAAGGACAAAAATTTATTAATTTCACTAAATGAGATTGGTCTGTTGTGGCTTATTTATTATTTATTTATTTATTTTTGAGACACAGTCTCGCTCTGTGTCCAGGCTAGAGTGCTGTGGCAATCAGCCTAGCTCACAGCAACTCAAACGCCTGGCTCAAGTGATCCTCCTGTTTCCCGCTCCCAGGTAGCTGGGATACAGGCACGTGCCACCATGCCCAGCTAATTTTTTCTATTTTAGTTGTTTGGCTAATTCTTTCTATTTATAGGTGAGGCTGGGTCTTGTTGTTGCTCTGGTGGTCTCGAACTCCTGAGTTCAAGCAATCTCCTGCCTCGCCTCCAGAGTGCTAGGATTACAGGCATGAGCCACTGTGCCCGGACTGTTGTGGCTTAATTTTAACATCAGAGTAGCCTTTTTGTTATAAATATTAAGTGTTCCATAGACTCTGACATGTAATTCAAAGTAAGTTGTAATTTCAATACACTTTTAATGAATGTGCAGATCAACTGGATCAATTCCATTCAATAACTTTCTTATATAGATGAGGAAGAGAAGTAATAAATGTGAATTAAACAACATGGACAACTTGTTCTGAATTATTTAATATGTAGTTAGATTTTATTATTGCGCAAGTGATTTCAATAATGAAGTATATTCTGAAATGATGAAAATTATTCAGATGAGAACAGTTGTTCACTGTATCTATTTCTAAAGATGATATCAAATTAAGGCTGAGATATAATTATTAACAGAATGAAACTAACTGAGATCGTAAGTTTTTGACTTCTCTTGGCCTTTATTTTCTCTTTATAAACAGGGGCCAGGTACATTCTAAGATATATACAGTTGAATTTCACTTAATAGTTAACCACTTAAAGTTATAATAAACAGTCTATTAACTGCAAAGCAAATGTATGGGCTCTTTTCTTTTATTGAAAGTATCTTGGAATTCTTGAAGTGATTATTTTTTTTTTTGATCAGGTCTCACTCTGCTGCTCCAGGCTAGAAGTGAGGCTGGGCATCATATAATCACAGCAAACCTCAAATCTTGGACTGAGCAATCCTCCTGGCTCAGTCGTCTCAAGTAAGCTGGGAGCTACAGGTGCAACCAACGCATGGCCCCATGATTTTTCTATTTTTGGTAGGGATGGGATAGGTCTTGCTATGTTTGCTGAGGCTGGACTTGAATTTTCTGGCTTCAGGAGTGATGCCTGCCGCCTCGCGCCTCCCAAGATGCTAGAATTACAAGGGGTGAACCATGCACGCAGCCTGAAGATATATGCGCTTTCGTTTAGGTAAGAAGGTACCCCGATTCACATAGAGCCCTACCAGATCAATTGAAGGTCAGGATTCAGACGCCTAAGTAAGCAGACCTCTCCTACCAAAAAGAAAGAATTACCAAGTGATGTACATGATGTAGTCCCAACTATTGGAGGCTGAGGCCAGGAAGGAGGACATCGCTTAGCCCAGGAGTTTTGAGGTTGCTCGTAGACTATGAGGATAGCCACATACACTCTAACCTGGGCAACAGAATGAGCTCCTGTTTCCAAAAAATAAATAAATAAATAAAAAATAATGCCAGTAGTGGCAGAATAGCAGCCAGAATTCAGGAATTTCTCAGTTTGGTTATTTCTTCAAAGCCAGCTGTCTCCTGTAGCAAGGCAAGGCATTTTTCAAAGGACCTAAGCCTATTTACTCTCACATTGGTAGCAAGCAAAACATGGAAAATCACGGTTACATAGATTTTAGTCCTTAAAAGTCTATTGGAATCATTCTAGCGTCCTTTCACAGTTAGAAAATACAGAATATGAGGACAGAATTTTAAAATTCAAACCTCACCAAACAATATGAAATTTTGTCGAATGATACCACTACCAGTAAATTTTCACCATCCACTTCTTCTGGCATAATCTTTTTGAAGCTGCCACATAATTCAGCACTGTGGTGAAGATGCATATGAAATTTTATATACTTATTTCTCATAAGCTTTCACTTATGTCAAAGTTTAAATATTACTTGAAATATAATTACAAATGTATACATATCTTAACACGAACAATACTTTCTGATTGATGATATTAAGGTTTACATTTTTATTATAACAGTCATAACGCAACAATGAAGCATCTTTGTTTTTCTTCCTGTGTGAAGGATTATTTTCACCTGGCATCAATTCCCACGTGACATATATGTTTATTTTGATACATAGTTGCTGAACTTCTTTCCAAGAAGCTGGCAATGAAATACCAACCACCTAGTGATGCCCAAGGGTGCTTGTTGTACCCTTACCCTTATCGTCCTACAGTAATTTATTTACTTTACATTTTAGCTAATTGAGTAGAGAAAATATAGAACTCCCCCTTCAAAATATCATTTGCTATTAGCCATACAAAGGGGTGAACATCTTTTCCCAATTTTTACTAAAAAAAAGAGTAGCCTTCCATGTCCTTTCTTTTAAGTACTTAAGCTATTTAATATCCTTCTAGTTCAAAAACCATTTTGTATGAGGCTTTACATAGATGTTCATTTCCTCCTTATCGTCTTGTTACAAAATGTTTTCGCCCAGTTTATTGTTCTTTTTTGACAAAGCTATCAAAAATATTAATCTTTTACATGCTCCCTAACGAGTAAACCCCCTCACCATGTCTAACAACAAAGGTTATAATTGTTCTCCTTAAAGCTGAGAATTCTTCCCTGGGGCATCAGAGAAGGAAAATCACTACTTTCCAATAAGTCACAAAAAAGCGAGTATTTTTTTGCGCAAATGAAGATTTTACCGCCCATTCAAGGACCATTCATTCATGTTCTAATGTATACATCATACCTTTTAAATCCAGCACAAAACAACATCAACAAAATTAAAAGCATTATAAAGAAAAACATGTACTTTCAACAGCTCTGATTTTCATGTAAGTATTTAATAAGTTATAAAAGCCTTTGGATTATAGATATTATCAATATTTATATATTTGTAATTATAAATTTAATTGGGGCTAGCATAACATCCGGGTTCCGAATTATTATATACCTTTTGCCACATACTTCTAAGGTAAAAGATCCTTGAAAAACATCTTCAACCTTCATAATAGGCACAGTTTTATTTTACTTATGCTCCAAGCTTACAATAATAAGAATAGCCTATTCTTTATTAGGAAAACCAACCAAAAAAATATG